ATTTATTGACGGCAGTATTATCTCGTATTATTTCTTGCCTGCAGTATTATCTCGAATTATATCTTGACTGCAGTATTATCTCGGATTTTTTCATGACGGCAGTATTATCTCAGATTATTTCTTGACGGCAGTATTATCTCGGATTATTTCTTGATGGCAGTATTATCTCGTATTATTTCTTGACTGCAGTAATATATCGGATCATATCTTGACGGCAGTATTATCTCGGATATTTTCTTGAAGGTAGTATTATCTCGGATTATTTCTTGACGGCAGTATTATCTCGGATTATTTCTTGACAGCAGTATTATCTCGGATTATTTTTGGACGGCAGTATTTATTTTCGGAATTATTCACTGACGGCCAGTATTTATCTCGGATATTTCTTGACGGCAGTCTTATTTCGGGATTTTTCTTAACGCCGTATTATCTCGGCATTATTTTCTTGACTGCAGTATATCTCGTATTATTTCTTGACGGCAGCAATAACTCGGATACATTTTTTTACGGGGCCCAGTATTTATCTCGGATAAATTTCTTGACCGGTATATTATCTCGATTATTTCATGACGGCCATATTATCTCGGATTATTGTTTGTCAGCAGTATTATCTCGGATTATTTTGAAGGCAGTATTATCTCGGATTATTTTCTTGATGGCAGTAATATCTCGGATTATTTCTTGACGGCAGTTTTATCTCGGATTATTTCTTGACGGCTGTTTTTTCTCGGATTATTTCTTGACGACAGTATTATCTCGGATTAATTTTTTTATTATCTGGGATTATTTCTTGACGGCAGTATTGATCTCGGATTATTTCTTTGACGCAGTTTTATCTCGGATTTATTTCTTGACGGCTTGTATTTTCTCGGATTTTTCTTGACGACCAGTATTATCTCGGATTATTTCTTTATTATCTGGGAATAATTTCTTGACGGCAGTATTTATCTGCGGATTATTTCTTGACGGCAGTGTTGCCTCGGATTATTTCTTGACGGCAGTTTTATCTGGGATTATTTCATGACGGCAGTATTATCTCGGAATATTTTTTGACGGCAGTGTTGCCTCGGATTATTTCTTGACGGCAGTTTTATCTCGGATTATTTCTTGACTGCAGTATTATCTCGGATTTTTTCATGACGGCAGTATTATCTCAGATTATTTCTTGACGGCAGTATTATCTCGGATTATTTCTTGACTGCAGTAATATCTCGTATTATTTGTTGACGGCAGTATTATCTCGAATTATATCTTGACGGCAGTATTATCTCGTATTTTTTCTTAACGGTAGTATTATCTCGGATAATTTCTTAACAGCAGTATTATTTCGGATTTTTTCTTGACGGCAGTATTATCTCGGATTATTTCTTGAATGCAGTTATATCTCGTATTATTTCTTGACTGCAGTAATATCTCGGATCATATCTTGACGGTAGTATTATCTCGGATAATTTCTTGAAGGTAGTATTATCTCAGATTATTTCTTGACGGCAGTATTATCTCGGATTATTTCTTGACGGCAGTATTATCTCGGATTATTTCATGACGGCAGTATTATCTCGGATTATTTCTTGACAGCAGTATTATCTCGGATTATTTTTGACGGCAGTATTATCTCGGATTATTCACTGACGGCAGTATTATCTCGGATTATTTCTTGACAGCAGTATTATCTCGGATTATTTCTTGACAGCAGTATTATCTCGGATTATTTTTGACGGCAGTATTATCTCGGATTATTCACTGACGGCAGTATTATCTCGGATTATTTCTTGACGGCAGTCTTATTTCGGATTTTTCTGACGCAGTAGTTATCTCGGATTATTTTCTTGACGGCAGTATTATCTCGGATTATTTCTTGACGGCAATATTATCTCAGATTATTTCTTGAAACGCAGTATAATCTTGGATTATTTCTTGACGGCAGAGTATTATCGATCGGAATTATTTATTGACGGCAGTATTATCTCGGATTATTTCTTGACGGGCAGTATTATCTCGGATTATTTCATGACGATAGTATTATCTCGGATTATTTCTTGACAGCAGTATTATCTCGGATTATTTTTGACGGCAGTATTATCTCGGATTATTCACTGACGGCAGTATTATCTCGGATTATTCACTGACGGCAGTATTATGTTGGATTATTTCTTGACGGCAGTATTATTTCGGATTATTTCTTGACGGCAGTATTATCTCGGATTATTTCTTGACGGCAGTATTATCTCGGATTATTTCATGACGGCAGTATTATCTCGGATTATTTCTTTATTATCTCGGATTATTTCTTGACGGCAGTATTATCTCGGATTATTTCTTGACGGCAGTATTATCTCGGATTATTTCTTGACGACAGTGTTACCTCGGATTATTTCTTGACTGCAGTAATATCTCGTATTATTTCTTGACTGCAGTAATAACTCGGATCATTTCTTGACGGCAGTATTATCTCGGATAATTTCTTGACGGTAGTACTATCTCGAATTATTTCTTGACGGCAGTATTACCTCGGATTATTTCTTGACGGCAGTTTTATTTCGGATTATTTCTTGACGGCAGTATTACCTCGGATAATTTCTTGACGGTAGTATTATCTCGGATAATGTCTTGACGGTAGTATAATCTCGGATTATTTCTTGATTGCAGTAATATCTCGTATTATTTCTTGACTGCAGCAATAACTCGGATAATTTTTGACGGCAGTATTATCTCGGATAATTTCTTGACGGTAGTATTATCTCGGATTATTTCATGACGGCAGTATTATCTCGGATTATTTCTTGTCAGCAGTATTATCTCGGATTATTTTTGACGGCAGTATTATCTCGGATTATTCACTGACGGCAGTATTATCTCGGATTATTTCTTGATGGCAGTATTATCTCGGATTATTTCTTGACGGCAGTATTATCTCGGATTATTTATTGACGGCAGTACTATCTCGGATTATTTCTTGACGGCAGTATTATCTCGGATTATTTCTTGACGGCAGTTTTATCTCGGATTATTTCTTGACGGCTGTATTTTCTCGGATTATTTCTTGACGGCAGTATGATCTCGGATTATTTCTTGACGACAGTATTATCTCGGATTATTTCTTTATTATCTGGGATTATATCTTGACGGCAGTATTATCTCGGATTATTTCTTGACGGCAGTGTTGCCTCGGATTATTTCTTGACGGCTTTATTATCTCAGATTATTTCTTGACGGCAGTACTATCTCGGATTATTTCTTGACGGCAGTTTGATCTCGTATTATTTCTTTCCGGCAGTATTATATCGGATTATTTCTTGACAGCAGTATAACCTCGGATTATTTCTTTTCATCAATATTACCTCTGATTATATCTTGACAGCAGTATTGCCTCGGATTATTTCTTGACGGCAGTATTACCTCGGATTATTTCTTGACAGCAGTATTACCTCTGATTATTTTTTGACAGCAGTATTATCTCGGATTATTTCTTGACAGCAGTATTACCTCGGATTATTTCTTGACAGCAGAGTTACCTCGGATTATTTCTTGACGGCAGTAATATCTAGGATTGTTTCTTGGAGGCAGTTTTAACTCGGATGTTTTATGACGGCAGTTTTATCTTGGATTATTTTAATGATAGTAGTAATATCTTAGCAGACTTGATGAAAGTAATAACACCTCGTATTATGTCGTGATTGATTATATGTGATTAATAAAAACCCGGGTTTTTTTTCATGACAGTAATGATAACTCGAAAAATTTCATCCCCAAGTCGGATAAATTTAAAAAAAAAATTCATGTTAGCGGCTATATAATCTTTGATTCTTTTATGTTCGCAGTATTATTTGATTGTTTCGTGAGGGAAGTATTTACTTGGAATATTTCATGGGGGCAGTTTCACTTCGAATTTTTTCATGACGTCAGTTTTATAACGCATTGTTTTCTTGACGTCAGTATTATCTAAGATTCTTTTATGATGGCAGTGTTATCTCGGATTGTTTCATGAGGGAAGTATTATCCCGGATTGTTTCAGTAGGGAAGTAATATCTCGGATTCTTTCAAAGTGACATTATTATCTCTAATTGTTTCATGAGGGAAGTATTATCTGTTATTGTTTCATGACGAAAGTATTATCTAAGATTTTTTCATAGTGGCAGAATAATATCTGATTGTTTTATAAAGGATGTATTATCTCGGATTGTTTTTAATGAAGGCAGTATAAGCTCGCATTATTTCATGACTGCAGTAATATATCGGATTGTTTCATGATGGTAGTATTAGCTCGGATTGTTTTCTTGACGGCAGTTTTATCTCGGATTATTTCATGACAGCAGTGTCATCTCGAATTGATTCTTGATAGCATTATTGTCTTGGATTCTTTTTTGACGGATGTATTATCTCGGATTGTTTCACGACACCAGTAATATCTGGGATCGTTTCTCTACGACAGGATTATCTCGTATTTTTTCATGCCGACAATTACCTCAGATTGTTTTATGATGGCAGTTTTATCTTGGATGGTTTCTTAACGTCAATTATATTTCGGATTTTTTCATGATGTCAGTTTTATTTAATTATTTTATGAAAGTATCAATATCTTTGCCTATTTGATGATAGCAATATAACCTCGGATAATGCCGTGATGGATTACTTCATGACATGAATTAAAGCCCGGAATTTTCATGAAAGTAATGATAACTCGAAAAAAATGCATCGGATATGTAGGATAAAAAATTCAATTCTTGTTTAAGATGTTTATGTTTTAATCTTTAAAGTACGACTGCACAACTACTGTAAAGATATGCAACACACCGAATTAGTTATTGTCTAGAAATATTAAAAGTTGTATATGCTTTAAGTATGATGATTGATTAAATTATATTTAAGTTAAACTTAAGTGGCAGTATTTAATTACTTTTAAAATACGTAGATATTTATATTACCAATATATACATTTACTTTTATTCTTCTGTATTGCCAAAGCATGAATTTATAAATCGCATGTCAAATATACTTACTTTATTTCGGAAATCCTTTAACCGACATATGTCTGCTTCCATTGATACATCGGTTTGTGCTGGTGTTGCCCTCCAGTCAAATGTTTTATTTAATCCAAAACATTTCAGATTTCTAAGAAGACAAATAATCAGCGTGATGTCTAAATCTGACGAAGATGGGACTTTACCTCCCGCTGGAAACAACACGTCATATTGGACCTGGGTTATAACGCCGCGGCTTTTCAAACGTGTTATTGTTGACTTTTCTTGATTCAAGCACGCACTGAACGTTATGCATTGAGATGTCAGGGACTGGTCCAGTATAGTCCTCAATACAAGGAGGCCACCATCAATGACTAGTATTTGTAACCGAAACAAAAATATACGGTTATCTAGCGTCTGTGGCTGACCTCCGGTTGCCATTTCGTTTACTTCTTGATTTGTTACATCTGTTATAGCCACATCTGTAAATGATGAAACGTACAAGTTATTTTAAAAATTAAACAATTGCTTTAAACACTTCTTATACATGTAATTATGCTTAGAATCGTTATCATAATATAAACACTTTATGTTAGTGATTTCGATACTTTAAAATGGAATTGTTGACAGATTGTGTTTCTGTCAAATTACTCAGATTAAGACTTTATTATTCTAATTCATTTAATACAACAATAACCTTTTTAAAGAGAAAATGATTCAATAATCATTTTATATGATCAATATAAATAAATATGTAGTAAAATAATTCAAAACTAAATTGAATATCATTTATCGTAGTCTGGGATAACAATTATATCCGTTTTGTTGAATTTTGGTGTGATAAAAATCGATGGTGACATAAATAATGATAAAACATAAACACTTCAACGTTTTATTTTGTTCTAAAAATTACAATTTATTGATCCTTTAACTCAACTTCTTATTTAATCATGAATATAACGCTCAAATGATGATTTATGAATATTGTAAGTTCCTTAAAGCATTATTTGGAAAGATATTACCGAATTTACATCTCATGTAAATAATGGGAGGTAATTAGAAATTTATTTCCCATAAAGTCTAAGCCAATCTTTTTCAATAAAAAATGAATGCATACATTTAATGCATACTTGTAATGCGTATAAACATTTTTGCAGTACATAATACTTTATGTGTATATGATTTTTAAAAAAAAGCTTGAAAAAAGAGAAATAGGTCTTCAGGTAGAACAATCTTGGTCAACTGATATGTAATCAGATTTCGTTAATTATGGAGGAGGCTAATTAGACGATGATACATAACGAATAATTGACAATTAAGCATTACATTTCAAAAAAGGGTATTTTAAAAAAGACTCTACGCAAGGTCAATCATTATTTGAATGAACTTGGTTGTGACCGAATAGGCAATAATACACACAATATCTATGCTATAGCATTTTTTCAATTAACAAAACAGTTGTTTTACGTTTTTTTTCCATACAATAAACTGACCCAAGGGCAAGGCTAGTTTTGATCCAAGAAACTTATTGGACCAAATTTTGTTTAAGTTATCAAGGACCAGAAACAGTGCACCACAAAAGCAATACAGATATTTGATTAAAATTAATATTGAAAATTATTAATATTGTGGAAGTCAACAGGGCAATACTACAAGAACAATGTCTAAATCATTTCCATAAATTTAGTGTTGCACTAGGAATGTAGGTATGTTAAAGTTGTTTTAACTAAGTTTATCATAGCCTCTAACTACCAAAGGGGAATAACTGAAATCCCTTCATACATAAGTGGCTTGTCTCTTATCAGGGAAACAAATTGACAACTTATAAGGCCAATCTTTAATATGTTTACACGCTCATTAATCTGTCACTAAATTATTTATCTTTTACATTCATTACAAGAGAGACTAAGAAATATGATACAATTCAACTCATTTAAAGGGCGCAGACAGATTGATATTTAAGTTAATGAGTTGGTTTTTCTTGACGAATTACTGCAAATGACTTAACATTACATGTATGTTTTGATTAAATGAGAGTAAATTTCATTTCATTAATTATCTTTATTTATATTTTTCATTGTATTTATTTTATTTATTGATTCCATTTTTTTTACTACTGGGAATGTTCGTTACCACTGCCATATTGGAGCCTCTGTGAAAAAAAAATGCATTGATATATAACAGGTGCGAACGGCCTAACAGCCTCGCCATGTTTTAGCAGAAACATCCCTTGATGTCGCTCCAGCCAGTGTTATATCCTCGTAACTAACTCGTTTCATGTACTATAACTATTACATAAGCACATGTGACGGAGAAGAACGCATTTGGGTACCGCCTTGGAACTATAAAAAGCAAAATCTAAACTGGTGAGTTTAACGTTGTTGTAGAATTGACAAACCTATTTTTAGCCCAAATATGTTCTATTTGACGAGACAGTGTTAATAAAATAAATCTAAAGTAAATTTTTTTTACAAAAGATACGACACAATGGCCATAAGAAATATATTAAATTATACTCGATGAACTAAAGAAAAGCAAAGCAACAAGAGCCCCAAATCTGCGTTACAACTCGTTCATTTGAGATAAATTGTTATAAAGGTAATAAATTTGTTATTATGGTCACATTCAAAACCATTGAAGGTAAAACTTTGATGTCAACGCAAATAATAATCTACAATTAAAAAAAGAAGGCCATGATGCCCCTTATTTCGCTCACGTCATTATGAAGGGTCAGTTCAAATGTCCAGGATATTTGAACTGGAACAATGTCCCCTAGAGTGTTCACATGTTTTTTCCATATTTGAGCTGTTTGACCTAGTATTTTACACCAGGTAACCAATATTAAAATTTGACGTAGGATAAATTAAAGCAGTAAATAATAAAACTTGAGGTGCAATCCTTTAAGCTCTTGTTTTACGTATTTCATGGAGACCAGACAAGAATTGTGGAAATCTTATTCAAGACTTGTGCATAGATACAATAAAATTGTATAACACCGAAACATTCGTGTTTATAAGCCCCATGTCGTCATGAACACGTCCAGCTCGAAAAATACAACCTATTTTAGCAAGTTTTGTGCACAGTTGTTTATCAAAGTCATTGCTTTGCCTTGTGATGAAGTTGAAAAGTATTCAACTTAACAATTAAACTTTATCAAATATTTATAAATGCAATACATTGATCTTGAACCCAGTGACCCCTGACACAATCTTACCTTTAAGGACCACTTTAGGTATCTTCCTTGTAAATATGAGACATTGTAAAAAAAGCAACACTGAACCATCCAGGGTATGTTAATTCCAAATATGCAAACCATCAGTCTAAAAACATTACTGCAGGTTGCTATTGCTAACGGAAAACAACAGTTCCAAAAGATTAGGTGAGGCCAATATTGATCCAAAGACTTTTATTTGGAAAATGGGTAAACACCGATAAGAAGATTTTTCAGGCTTAATATCTAACCACTAGCTTTTGAGTTTTTATAAAAGAAGTTTTTACCATGTACATTTACGAAAAATCAATAAACCCCCTGGGCGGGACCAATTTTGACCCAGGGCTTTTATTTAAATTTGATAGACACACATAGAAGATTTTTATGATAATATCTAACCTCTATCTCTTTTGATTTTTTAAAGGAGATTTTTTAAGTTTTTAATATGTACATATAAAGAAAATCAATGACCCCCGGGTGGAGGCAATATTGACCCCAAAGCTTTTATTTGAATAATTTGGTAGAAGCTTACTAGAAGATTTGTAATGCTTAATATGTAATCTTTAGCTCTATGTTTTTTTCAAAGAAGATTTGTTTCAGTTTTTACTATGTACATATAATAAAATCAATGACCCCCAGGGTCGGGGCCAATTTTGACCGCAGGGCTTTTATTTTAACAAACTTGGTAGACATCTCACATGAAGATGTTTCATGTTTTATAACTAATCTCTAGCACATTGTTTTAAAAAAAAAGATATTTAATCTTTAACTATATACATATAAGAAAAAACAATTTTCGAAAAGAAGTTTAGATTGCTGTAATGAATTGTTTTTGACTCCGAATAAATAAAAATTAGCAAATGTTTTATAGTTCAATGTATTTAACATTATGGTTTCGCAATAATCAGGCATATTTCTGACATTAGATAAATGTCGAAGTAAAGTAGAATATTATAAGCACGTGTTACATATATTCATAAATGATCGAGGAAAAATAACAATTTCTGGATATATTTGCAATCAAACTTTATGTTTTAACAGCCGTATACGCTAATTAATTTTCTTTCGATTTTTTATTGTGAGGTATATATTTCTGTTGTTCTTTTTGTTCAAAACATTGACAATTCGGCCTAACTTTGACATCTCTTTTGTTGTTTTCACATCCATGCGTTAGATGATGTGCACGGTGAAATTTAAAAAAAAACAACATATGGTTGGCAATATGTGTTTGTTTGTTTTTGTTATTGTTGTTGTTGTTGTTTTGCTGTTTTGTTCTTATGAGGAGGTAGTGGCAGGGGAAACAAACACTTTTCTATTTAAGGCCTAACGTTAAAGCTCTTAAATACTTAAAAATCGGATATAACATTAATTATAAAATCATGCAAACGCACAATGGTTTGTAGCGTGATATACATGTATTTACATCCGTGTACACTGTAATGCAAACGTAAGTTGTAAGGTCACATTAAGCTACAGTCTCACTTACATCCCGGCAGAGCCCCGGCAGAGCCCCGGTAGACGTCCGGGGTGATCCGGGAACGACCGGGGTACGACCGGGAACAACCGGGGTACATCCGTAACTCTGCCGGCAACGTCCTGGATGATCCGGGATGATCCGGGAACATCCGGCATTCGACCCCGGATGGAATAAAATATTTAATATCACCGGGGTGGTCCGGGATGATCCGGGAAGGTATAGCTTTGCCGGCATCATCCTTAGCTCTGCCGGGAACGACCGGGGTGATACCGGGAAAGCACCGTAGCTCTGCCGGCACAAACCGGGGATGATCCGGGGTATGATATAGCCGGTAGAGCTACGGTAGAGCTACGGTAGAGCCCCGGTATATGCCGGCAGAGCCCCGGTAACTACAGGCAGAGCCCCGGAGGATAAAGGTAGAGCTACGGTTGATCCCGGTAGAGCCCCGGCAAAGCCCGGATCATTTAAAAAAAATAAGGACAATTTGTGATGATTGAACTTGTTTGTATTAAAAAGCCTTCCCATTTCCCTTCTATCCAGTATGGCATAAGGATTTTTCAGAAAATCATCATGATTTACTATTCTGGAACAATAGATATTATATTAAATAAAATTATGTATCAAAGTTATCATTTTCGGGCGTTTTCAATCCACCGGGGTTCTACCGGGGCTCTGCCTGGATCGTCCTGGGCTCTGCCGGGGCTCTGCCTGGATCGACCGGGGCTCTGCCTGGGTCAACCGGGCTCTTCCGGCGTCATCCGGGAACGACCGTGGAAGCACCGGCATGAACCGTAGCTTCACCTGGGCTCTGCCTGGATGATCCGGAGCGCATCCTGGGTGGTTAGTAGGGAACTACCGTAGTGCTGCCGGGGTAAGTGTGACCGCAACAATAATTTCATCCCGGATCGTCCCGGATCATCCCGGTAACTTACCGGGATGGTCCTGGGCTCTGCCGGGAGTAAGTGAGACCGAGGCTTAACGTGTACCATTCTTAACCCAATTCTTGACTGATTTATAAACTATTTGTAAGCATTGTACCTCGACAAATGAATAAAGGTCTCTATTATATGATTACCCAAATATAAATTTCTGGGACATGGTTTATACATCTTGAGTGCAGGGCCACAAGTCGGTGCAATTGGCCAAATATTTAATTATTATTTATTTTATGATCTTCACAATTTACTTAATTAGTAAGGGGATCTGCAGACATGTTTACTATATAAATCTTAATAAAATAAGCGGCCTACAGGATCGGACCGGCATGTCAAAAATATATGTCTATATTCCTATGCATATAAATCTAGATAAATTAAGTGACCTCAGGAAGGGCAAGTTTTGACATCGGACCAAGATTTATTTTTTTTAGATATGGCAATGTTACATGCTTAATTTAAGCCCCAAACATTGTAGTTTATTCATGATGACTTGAGTGTTGTCTCATATATAGGTTCATTTAAATTAAGTTACCAGTAGAACAGTGTTATTTTTACCTCTGTTGCAAAGACAATGCATTTATTCCTTTTGTATAGGACCAACAGGTTGTGATCTGTGCCAGATATCTTTGCTCTGAGCATTTTAGTTTCGGGAGAAATATTTTCAAGATGAATTTACCATTAAATCTATATATGAACGAGAAGAAACCCTAGAGCGTGCCAATTTTCACCCTAGGAACATGATTTTTGTAGAGGTCTATAGTCTGAGTCAAAATGTAACACACCAAAAAGACTTAAAAGCTTGTTCCTATATTTGTCCATATAGTGTAAGAGACCGCAAGGAGAAGGGGCCTATATGATTTACGTTAAACATAAATGTTTACTCGGGATTAAACTGATCGATGACCGCGAGATATGAACTGGAAGAAATATTTTTCTTCTGGGACAGATGCTCCACAACTGCAACAAATCGACCTACAACACGCCGTATTACCGGGATCAGTGATAATAGCGGTGAGGATGGTTAGATGCAAATAAGGACTTTTTTATTGCTAAGATATAACTTTTCATTGACTGAAGATACAGTCAAGTAATTTGAATATGTTTTTTCTCCAATGCTAAGGGTTAAAATTGACATCAGCTTTGGGGAAAGATCCATGGAAATGGTTGTTTTTGTTCAAAATATCTCAAATGTTAATTTTTTATGATGTAGGTGTATCTAATAAACGTTTGTTGACTCATAGGTACAAGACAAGCAAAAATTTACTATCACAGTATAAATAGATATGAACTCAAAGAAAACAAAGTTCCTATATAAATGCATGTGTGCATGGTCATTTGTGACAGTCTCTATTCAGTAAAAAAAGAGTTGTTATTCAAATGTTCATGCAATGGAAATCGCATTGAATTTATGGACTTCGATTGATATTGAATAACGTTTTACTTTGTGTCAAAAAAGTTTTTCGTTGGACCTACGGCATTGATAACTTTTCCATCTTAAATAAAAGTTTACAGGCTTATGTTACAGTTACATGGATATTTAGACAGAATGATAACTTTGTTAACAATTTTGTTTAACTGAGTTGGAATATGATAATATAAACATTTTGAGCCACCTGACACGCTTTCCTGCTATCTGCCCTTCAGCCTAAAAGTCTCGATTATTTCAAGTGCAAAAATCACAGCCAGGGAAAGCAATATATTGTTTCTGACTTTAATGAAGCGATAGTGTTTGTACATTTTTTGAAGAATTGCCTATGTTAGGATTCAGTCAACAGCTTTTTTCGATGCATCATCCGTATTATTTACCTTTATGTCTCGAGAAAATATTACATATCTTAATTTTACATTAGTACGCAAAGTATCGATAAATTAACAAAACATTTTAAGCTTTTGCTAGAGTTTTAGCAATTTTTAAAATTTCTCACATGAATACTGTTTAATTACCTTTAGGATATTTTGCCTGCTTTTTAATTTTGCTTTTAAACATCTTATATCTATGATATGCAGGCTTTTTAACCTCTGATGACCTTTCAAAATTTCCCTTTTATTAAGTTTCGCCCATTGTTTTCTCGCTAAGGATACATGCAATTCTTTATTTGGAGACCGTATGCCGCTTTTTTAAGTGATGGCACTAACGTGTCACATAGAAGTTTCCATGATGACCGCCATATATGAACACATCCGCGGATGTTTCTAAGTTCAGAATATACCAGTTCATGTTAAATGTTGAATTCTGCTTCAGTCGGTGCTAGCGGCATGGATGATAGCTTGCAAACAAGCTCAATCATACCGAGCCTGCAAAAGTTCAATTTTGCCATGTTGAGTTTTTATTAAGTGAGTCTGTTTTTTACTGTTTGGTTTGACCAAGCTAGTTTAGACGCCTGTTACATTTTCAAGAAAAGACATACTGGTTAGATATTTGGCTTGCGTAACCCTAAGTGATAAATTATTTCATTTGTTGCAAGCTTGAGATATTCTGAACAAGAAACAAACATTTTTACAGCTTTTCAGAAGCTGTCACTTTTAACCTGCACAAACTATTTCAATAACAGGAAAAATGAATATAAAATAACGTTATAATAACTTCAGTCAAAGTACAGTAAGTTTATTGCAATTAGAGTGTCCTTATTTTCGTAATAGTTAATTATTTATTAAACTAGTAAATTGATATCTAGTCAAAGGAAAAAAAGAGTTTTAGATTTCGTTTTTTTTAGTTATTATATTTTATTTTTTAATGAGTCGTCTGTGCAATTTATGTTTGACAAACTTCCGAAATATTTAATTACAATTGTGTCATCAGTTTTATATAAAATGCTTTTAATAAGTGTTTGTATTCTGTATATGTGTGTTTTAACCTGAATAAGTACTATCTTAATATCAATATACCAACAAGTTTATAACCTACCTAATCTTCTAATGTGTGAACCCACCCTTCTTAGAAAGGAAATACAGCATTTGGTATCTAATACCTCAATATATCGTTGTGCATAGAACACTAGAACAAAGGCAACGGCCACGTTCATAGGACGCAGCCCCCGACACACCTAAGCCACCAAAGCAGGGCACCCAGAAGACACCAAACCATAACCAAAAGTAGACACAAGGGCGGCAAAAGGAGGAAAGGGACAAGTTCTGTGTGAAATGATAAAACCTAAAACGGGCCCATATGGTGATTAAAGGGACAAGGGCTATAAAGATGAACAAAACAGTGGGAAGGGTGAAAAAATGGGAGAAGAGGGGTTTAAAAGTTTACGCGACATTGAAAGTAAATAAATCACAAAATTATTGATTTGTCCCAGTGAACAGGTTTCTGATTTAATAAAAAAAAAAGATTATTGTACAAAACTTACCTCTATCGCTATTTAACACGAAACTTTTTCTTTTTACGAATAGTTTGTTCCTCTGTTGATTGGATGAATTATTTTACATACTGTCAAAAGCATATACATGTATATATGGTGTCAGAGTGGATGTTACTAGCACAAGTTTGTCATTTTAGTGTATGAAATCTCCGTGTGTATATAGAAAAAACGTCATTATTGCTTAAGCAGCTTTCGATCGAACAATATGAATACTTTAGACTGATGAAGCTTAAAATATGTGAGTCGAAGCGGATTGGTTAATTTTAGCGCAGGACATATTTACTATCATTATATCTACATTTTCAACTTTTCATATGTGTATATATATATATACAATACTGTACATTTTGCCCTGATGATCATAAGAGAAACCGGTTGGCAAATTATTAAATAAGTTTATATATATATATATATATATATATACACAGAATGATATAAATTGCATTGGCAGTGGCATGGATGTTCACTTCCGTATTTTACCATGATTAATTGTATTGCCATTGTACATTTTTATCGCATAAAATTTAAAATAATCTTAATGTAAAATCAAAATATTTGCGCTATCTCTTTTACCGCATTCCATATTAAATGGTTATCCTTTTAAATCTAGAAAAATTAAAACTTTGTCCAAAATCTTTTTTGATCTGGGAAGAAAATAGCCATAGGTAATGCATGCAAGAAGACTGATAAATGGTACTTCTGACCACAAGTTAAATAGTCATTAAATGTCTTATATATTGCTTCCCAGTGGTTATCATGCTTCCGATGGATCTACCTTTTTCCAGATTTTATTTTATAGATTATTGCTGGAGATCTTTATCATATAAGATTGTGGGGTAATATCTGTAATAAATAAAAAAGCACGGTTTAACGAGAAATTCACATGCCTGATCCTATTTATGATTAGGTGTTTGCAAACAGCAAATTGAAATCAATGAGCAGTGCTATGCGCTAATTTTAGAGTTCTACTGAATGTGGATTGTATCACAACACAATGTTCCGTTTTATATTTTAATGTTAATCTTTCTTAGTGGAATACCACAGATAATATATAACATATACACAGGTTATCCTGATGTTTACAAATTAATATTAAATACAGTAACAATTATTTCTAGTGGTAAGCCACAATACAATGTTATCACTTGGAAATCCAAAATCTAACTGACCCTAAATTTTCTACATGTATCTTTACAATAATTCTAAAATTGATTTCGTTTTAACTGACCAATAGAATTTTAACATTTTTGTGTCTTAAATAACAAAATGACCAATCAGGTTTAAATACAAAATAATGTAACATAGCAACATAGAATTTATAACAACAATCATCACCTGGATATTTTATCAGTCATAAGGTTTAACAACATGATAAGTACAGACAGCTTAATTGACCTTATCACCTATATATTATAAAACTTTTAGCACAGTTGATAGGACAAAGAGGAAAGCCGCATTTTAATCTTCCAGTTACATAATTTTAAATTTGACATCTGTTATTGAAACATATACAATTTGTAACTTAACATATTTGAAATTTCACAAATTTTGTTTTGAAAATATGACCTTTTAGAAAATGATCATATATATAAATATTTGTGTTTAAAAGAAAATCATCATGCATATTTATTCCTTTTTTTTTTGTAAATGAATTTTATCATTTTTCGGCTGCACAACGAAAAATGATAAAATTCATTTACAAAAAAAAGGAATAAATATGCATGATGATTTTCTTTTGTAAATGAATTTTATCATTTTTCGGCTGCACAACAGCAGTAGAACGTGATATATTAATAAATGGCATAATTGAAAGCAAATATTTCATATAATTATACTCGTATAATCTGAATTGTATTCTCTGTAAGAAAATATTATATCGTAATACAGTTAAGTAAAATTGTACAAGCATAAATAAACTTAAGCTTTGAAATATTTAGACAATAAGGATGTTTATGTAGCATAATTTTAGACGGATATTTTAAAATTACTAAATATTGTTCAGCATATTGTTTATAATCTTGAAATTTCGTGAAGAATATCTTTGATGGTGATAATAATAATGATTATAATGCAATCGATGTTGATATGGAACGTAGTCTTTTTTGATATTGAGCTTAGTTTATGTTGATGTATCGGGTCCATCAGACTTAGCTTATGCTGATATCGGACTAAGTTTTAGTTGATATCGAAATAAGTTTATGATGATATCGGACTTAGTCTATGTTGATATCTGACTAAGATTATAGTGATATCGGACTAAGTTTATGATGATATCAAACTATGTCTATGTTGATATCGGACTTAGTTTATGTTGATATCGGACTTAGTTTATGTTGATATTGGACTTAGTTTATGTTGATATCGGGTCCGGCGGGTCCAGTTTATGTTGATATTAGACTAAGTTTATGTTGACATTGGATTTTGTTTCTTTTTTATATCTGGTTCAGCAGACTAAGTTAATGTTGATATCGGGTCTATCGTGCTAAGTTCATGTTAATATCGGTTGAAGTTTATGTTGAATTCGGGCTTAGTTTATGCTAATATTGGGCTTAATCAACGTTATATCGAGCTAAATTAAGTTGATACCGGTCTCAGTTTAAATATTTATGTTGAAATCCGGCACAGTTCATATTGATATGAGGCTTCGTGTAGGTTTATAATTGGCTTAGATTATGTTAACAGCGGGCCGTGATATAGACAACTTCATTCATCAATGAGAACAACTTAATGTTGTTGAATTATCGTCCACACTTCTTGTTATGTTTCTGATACATGGTGTCAAATTTAATGTAAGCACACTTGATGCGAAGTTACGAGTTCGGAAATTATGGTTAGAAAGAACGAACATTCATTCTTACATACTTTCAAAACATTTATTTTACAAAATCTCAAACTAATGATTCAGCTGTATGCAAATAAATCAGGTATAGAATTGTCGAACATTAGCTTATTATTTATATTTTAAAAAAGTAATGCATTTAATCTACTGAACAAACTTAAACCAAGACTAGCTTCATCTTTACTTTTATATTTTCATTATTCATTTGCTCGTTACATATCATTATGAAACAGATGACTTAATTCATGAAATATGTTTTAATACATGGAATACTATTTAAGGCAGTGCTAAGGGCGTTAGGCATGTTGCACTTGTCCATTATTCCTCATGAACAAACTGCGTCTACATTTTTGATGTAATTTTGTTTCTTCTACCTTCCGATGGATCACATTTTTACCTGATTTTTTCCGTATTCGTACAAATGACAACCGTTAAATGTACCTCAACCTTTTATAAACACCGTCACATCCTGACCAATCGTTGGTTTACGAGGCTCCTAAAATATGTGCGTTAATTTTTCTTATGCCATGTAATTATAATTAAAACATTTAGAAAGAATATTAGTATTTCTAATACGTATTCATTTATTGTAATGATTTTAACAACAGCCACCATCTAGAAGGGGTCACGCTAGACTTGTTTCTTATTTCTTAAATAAAATACAACAGAGGAAGAATTATATAGTAAAGACTTCTCCTAATAATAGGCTATGCAAATATCACTCTGGCCATAAAATATAATTTCTTTGTAACAAATAAATTTCTTTTTTTTTTAACTTCACGGTCAAGTTCAATTAAAGGTCAAACTCATATAAGCATAATTCGGTTTTGCCATGTGTTCTTTAGTCGAACAGTCAGATACTAGAAATACACGTGGACCTGCAGTCAGATACAGGAAATCTATTGAATCCTATTGCGAAAAACATACAAGAAATATATTGGATCCTGCAATATTAGTGATCCTGCAGAGTTCAATACAGGAATTATATTTGATCCTGCAGACAAATACAGAAAAAAATGTGATCCGGCAGTCAGATACAGGAATCGTATTTGAGCCTGCTGCGATAAATACATGAAATATATCCTGCGAGCAGATACAGGAAACAAATTTTATCCTGCAACGTTAAATAAGGAATTGTATTTGATCATGAAGTCAGATACAGGGAATATATGTAATATAGCAGCATTAAGTACAAGAAATGTTTGTGATCCGATCAAGAATTAAATTTAATCCTGCAGTCAGATACTGGAAATGTTTGTAATCTTACAGCCTTATCTACTGCAATTATATTAGATATGGCAGTTATTTATAAGTAATGTTTGTGATCTTGCAGCGTTCAATACGAGAATTATATTGGCTCCTGCAGGCAGATATTAAAAAAGTTTGTAATGGATAATAAAATACAGGACACACAATGGATACTGCTGCAATAAATACAGAAATTGTATTCGATCCTCCAAATTTAGATACAGGTAACATATGAGATCCTGCTGCGTAAAACAGAAGTATCAGTTCAATATCAGTAATAAGATAATGTTTGAAAAATATAACACTAATATTCTCATATATATTTATCCAATATATATAAATTATGTTTTATAATGATTGTACATAGCATAAACTAAGCTATGTTCAGAAATATATAGCGGCAAACTACAAACTGATCAACAGGAAAGTATGGTTGAAAACATATCCTGTTACAATTAAGACACTTTAATTATCATTGCATGTATCATAAATGTTTCAGATTTCGACACTTATCAAACAATGTAATGAGGATAAAAGCTTTTTTCCTGTCCCCTTCTTAAACTGGCTGACATAATGAAGTAGATACATGTATTTCCTTGATCATATATAACGTTACACATATAGTGACTGTTTCGGTCGCGTAACTTTTTTATCTCAGAAAATATCATATCTTTCTAGGAATAATGATAACAAAAGAGTTTTAAGGAAGAAAATACTAAAGTTATATCCTTATTGCCATCAAACTGAATATAAGAGTTTCATTTTTAAAGTGGTTTATATTTTATATTTCATTTTTTAAGTCTTTTATGAATATATATGTTATGTATATTAGTATAAAGTGACTTAGCCGCATGTCTCCAGAACAGCCAAAATATTTCAAGAAAATCAAATTTGAGAAACATATTTAGGAAAAATTCAGAATTTAAAGAAACATAAAATAATTTAAAATTCAAGTTATGATCAACATTTTATGTGCGATAGATGACTGATATTTAAGAATCTATTACGATATTTTTGACTGTGTGACTAACGGAGCAAGGGCTGTTTTGTATCTGTTTAACGACTTGTTTGTAATTTACATGGATTGGAAG